GGTAATTTAGGCAGACATCCCCCAAGAAGAAAAAGCTTTTATCTAGAGCTCTACGATTATTCACATGTGATACTCCAAATTTTTATGCAAGACATCTACAATTTCGTAGGATGATTCGAAATCCAACCCAAACATTATCCGACATGTTTTTTATTGTGTTGATAACAAAGAAGAAACGTTACCATAGATTATATAATCATATGTCTAATATGATCTTGATAACTTATTTAACGTTTTTAATATAGTTCAATATTGATCTTTTAAATAACCTTAAATACTGATTAGTTTGGATAATTCAATTATATTTCACTGTTAAATGTATAATATATAAAAATTATGTGTTTATTACTCAACTTACAATTTTAAATTATTAATTTTTAATATTGTTGTCCCGCGCAGAGCGCGGGTACCTGCCTAGTTTTGAATTATTTGTTGTTTAGTTTATTTAAAATTAATCATGAATTTAATTACCAAGCATAAATAAGAAGAACAAGAAGAAAATGGGAGACGTACTCTTACAACGAGGGAAAGTGGGAAATGGGAGATAGATTCTTTAACAATCGGAAGTCCATTTCTCTTTATTAAAAAATAAAACAATTGCATAAAGTAATTAAAAGACAAACCAAATTAAAATCAATTATTGAACATATTTTTGGTTTGGTATCTTAGTTATGTACTCCAAAGTCAATTAGCAAAACCACAATCTGTGAGTTAACAAAGAATGTTTATATCCTGAGCAACAGAAAATAAACAGTTTGATACGAAAATATAACCAGTTAAAGTAAGTAACATGAGTAACACTAATTTCCAACCAGTAGACCAATCACTTTTCCCTTTGGTTTGATTTTTTCTTTCTTTAGGGTATCTAATCAAATTGATCCAACAATATTGATTGAGTGGAGATACATAAAAGACTATGGTAATGTCAATCTCTAGTGCTAGATGTTCTTCAAAATTTGCAATTCCAAGACCAGAGTTATGCTCTGCATTTGCTTGTATTTTAGAGAATTACGGTACATCGATTTCTGTTTTTGTAAAGATTTTGTATATTAGATTAAACAAATTATTTCAGACATACAAACTATCATTTTTGTCTCTCTTTTAGACAATCTCATCATCAATATCACTTCTTTTGACAGTTTCATCATAAGATCTTAAGAATAATATTTGTACCATTTTACTGACACAGTTTCCTTCAACTCTTTTCAGGACACATATTAAGAAAAATTTATTTCACAAACTTTAATTGGACGTCCTTACACCATCATCTAGAACTATACATTTGTGAAAATGAACACATAGTGCACAAGAACATTTGATTTAGTAACCAACTTACCAAAGCAGAAATACAATTCCTTAAAAACAACATTAATCATTCATAAAACACTCATAAAAGACATTTCGATAGATTAATTATTCTGATGCACTCTTTGAAGAAAAAATGATGTGATTACTCAATAGTGATCCTGAGTCCATTAGCGATGTCCATCTAATGAAAATATCTTTCTTGGGATGCAAACTTTATAAAAAATGAAGGCTTCTACAAATTTAATAGTTTTTAAATATATAGAACTATTAAATTTCTAAAAAGATAACCTATGAGCATCAATCTCCATAATAATAGAGTCAATCACGGTCGAAATGTCATCACCTCCTCCTAACTCCTTCATTTTAGATCGGATGTCTTCTAAACGCTCATTCCTTTTCAAGCATTCGTAACCATTGTGGAACATTACTCCAAATTTGCGAAA